TTGCCTTAACGCTTTTCTTTCTCATATAAATGTCTACCTGTACTCTATTCCATTAACTCGCACACCTCACGTAAGCGAATTGTATTCCATTTCCATAACATTTTTGTGTTCGTGGCATTTCCGTATATTATACTTTCTCACTTCGTGAACTTATCTAGGATTCGTTTGTAAACAACTTATTTCATATGCTCATTAACTTAAGGTTTATGTCACCCATTCCGTATGCATCATTCGAGTTATTTTCTTTCCCTCCCTCTCTCTCTTTCAAGTGTTTGGCTGTTGTTTGACATCCCAGGTGTGGCCGCGCTTGATGTGCATGTTAACAAGGTGCCTACCTGTCTATCACCCACCATCTCTTCCATCTGACTCCAGGAGACAGTTGGTCGTTGTTGGAGGGGACGGGGTGCACGGTCCTTGTGGCCGTGTTAGGCTCGAAGAGTGGTTCCATGCAGTCAGTGTGGAGCGGACTACGGTCCAGCCACCGCCTTGTGTGCGCTTGATTCCCCAAATACAGTGTGTTGTCTGTGAAGGAGTGTGGGCCGGCTCCGTTGATGAAACGTGGCTCCCATCCGCATGCCTCCCGGTCTTATTCCTTCGGGTTTACACTAGGTGTGGATGGAACTGTGGGTGGTGCAGCGCAAGCCATCCATGGTCCCTCTGTAGGCGCAGGCGTCCTGTGGCTTGCCACAGTGACAGGCGAATCCGAAACCGGATGCCGCCAACCATATATGGCGTATGGATTCAACGCGGATTCCGAAACAACTCTTATACGGTCAGCTGAGTATTGGGAAGCGGCATGTGGGGAAACCAAAGTTACGTTACAAGGACATGATCAAAGTGAGCATCTCACGTTCTAAACTTGATTTCAGGTCATGGGAATCAAAGGCGGTTGATCGGCGTGCATGGCGCGATCTAATCACGAAGGCAGTTGCCGAAGTGCGGAAAAATGACCTCATACATGCAGAGAAGGAGCGGCAAGTGCGGAAGTGGCAAGCACCGATGAATTGTACTCCATCGACATCGAGCGCATGGTGCTGTACCACATGTGGTCGCGAGTGCCTGAGTCAGGCAGGCCTAGTGAGCCATAAGCGAGGCCACTCGGGACCACTACAGAAGCGACGATGGGTCCTGTAGAGAACGTAGGCAGAACCGCGCAGCGTTTGTAGGTACGCTGTATTCGATTTACTAACAGCGTGCTTGCATGCTAAGTCTCTTTATTTCAGGTGGTGAGTTTTCAATTTTGTCCTAATGCTTTTCTTTCAAATATAAATGCCTACTTATACTCTCTTCTATACAGTTGCACACGTCGCTTAACCCACTTGAAGTTATTTCGATGACATTTTCGTGTTTGTAGCATTTCCGTAAAATGAACTTCCTGACCTCGTGAACTTACCTCGTATTCGTTGGTAAACAACTTATTTCATATGCTCATTAATTTAAGATTTATGTCACCGTTTCCTTATGCATTACTCGATTATTTCTTGGTTAGCTTTCTCTCAAGTGATTGACTGTTGTTTGACATCCCAGGTGTGGCTGCGCTTGATGTGCATGTTGACAAGGTGCCTACCTGTCTATTACCCACTACCTCGTCCATACTGGCTCCAGGAGACAGTTGGTCGTTGTTGGAGGGGACGGGGTGCACGGTCCTTGTGGCCGTGTTAGGCTCGAAGAGTGGTTCCATGCAGTCAGTGTGGAGCGGACTACGGTCCAGCCACCGCCTTGTGTGCGCTTGATTCCCAAATACAGTGTGCCTGTGAAGGAGTGTGGGCCGGCTCCGTTGATGAAACGTGGCTCCCATCCGCATGCCTCCCGGTCTTATTCCTTCGGGTTTACACTAGGTGTGGATGGAACTGTGGGTGGTGCAGCGCAAGCCATCCATGGTCCCTCTGTAGGCGCAGGCGTCCTGTGGCTTGCAACAGTGACAGGCGAATCCGAAACCGAATGCCGCCAACCATATATGGCGTATGGATTCAACGCGGATTCCGAAACAACTCTTATACGGTCAGCTGAGTATTAGGAAGCGCCATGTGGGGAAACCAAAGTTGCGTTACAAGGACATGATCAAAGTGAGCATCTCACGTTCTAAACTTGATTTCAGGTCATGGGAATCAAAGGCGGTTGATCGGCGTGCATGGCGCGATCTAATCACGAAGGCAGTTGCCGAAGTGCGGAAAAATGACCTCATACATGCAGAGAAGGAGCGGCAAGTGCGGAAGTGGCAAGCACCGATGAATTGTACTCCATCGACATCGAGCGCACGGTGCTGTACCACATGTGGTCGCGAGTGCCTGAGTCAGGCAGGCCTAGTGAGCCATAAGCGAGGCCACTCGGGACCACTACAGAAGCGACGATGGGTCCTGTAGAGAACGTAGGCAGAACCGCGCAGCGTTTGTAGGTACGCTGTATTCGATTTACTAACAGCGTGCTTGCATGCTAAATCTCTTTATTTCAGGTGGTGAGTTTTCAATTTTGTCCTAATGCTTTTCTTTCAAATATAAATGCCTACTTATACTCTCTTCTATACAGTTGCACACGTCGCTTAACCCACTTGAAGTTATTTCGATGACATTTTCGTGTTTGTAGCATTTCCGTAAAATGAACTTCCTGACCTCGTGAACTTACCTCGTATTCGTTGGTAAACAACTTATTTCATATGCTCATTAATTTAAGAGTTATGTCACTGTTTCCTTATGCTTTACTCGATTTATTTTCTTGGTTAGCTTTCTCTCAAGTGATTGACTGTTGTTTGACATCCCAGGTGTGGCTGCGCTTGATGTGCATGTTGACAAGGTGCCTACCTGTCTATTACCCACTACCTCGTCCATACTGGCTCCAGGAGACAGTTGGTCGTTGTTGGAGGGGACGGGGTGCACGGTCCTTGTGGCCGTGTTAGGCTCGAAGAGTGGTTCCATGCAGTCAGTGTGGAGCGGACTACGGTCCAGCCACCGCCTTGTGTGCGCTTGATTCCCAAATACAGTGTGCCTGTGAAGGAGTGTGGGCCGGCTCCGTTGATGAAACGTGGCTCCCATCCGCATGCCTCCCGGTCTTATTCCTTCGGGTTTACACTAGGTGTGGATGGAACTGTGGGTGGTGCAGCGCAAGCCATCCATGGTCCCTCTGTAGGCGCAGGCGTCCTGTGGCTTGCCACATTGACAGGCAAATCCGAAACTGGATGCCGCCAACCATATATATATATATATATATATATATATATATATATATATATATATATATATATATATCAAGAGAGCATAGCTAGTAATATTTCTGTGGCAACAACAGACCATTACGACTAAAGAGTTTCATAAGCGTCATACAAGTGTGGGTGGTGCAGAATACAAGTCGGTTCAGTATCGGATTCTAGTGTGGCAATGCTTTGCATTTGACTCAAGAGATTCTTCGGGACAAAGTCAGTTTGTACTCAACCCCTAATCAATCTATGAATAATCAATCTGTTCCAAGCTTATTTCGAGATACTGAGTCGCCACGCAAGTGCTCCCGTTGGTAGAGCACATCACCTCAGGCAGGCTAGTGTGAAGTAAAAAGTATCCTGAGCCTGAACTTAGCCGATCGCGCCATAGGGTCAAAAATGGGATAGAGTAGCCAATGGCTTGCACAATATGCATTGAATAACTGGGTGTTTCAGTGTTTACTGCTCTGTGTAGGGCGGTGGTGACAATGAACCCTTTTCGATAAATCTCAAAAGCCTTAGACATTTACACCTGCAGTTTAAGTAACATCCTCAGTGACAATGATTTATCGACTCGGCCGTTAAATTTTGCACCCTGGTCAATATATAGCCCAAGTTGGCTCATTTGTCATGTAATCCCGACGATGTAAATGTCCTACTCAGATGAGATTTATCGAAAAGTATTCTCAACTTAGCACTTTGATTCACATTAGTCAATGGAAATTTTTAGTCTGCTAAAATCAAGCATTCCCGGTGATTCAAAGAACCTTGGTGATGCCAGCTAACTATCGACAGTAAGTCCGTTGCAACGTTCTATCCATTATGTTCCAAGAAACACATCAAGATATCTGAGTTTGGAAAAGTACGTATGGGAGACGTACTAACTTCACTTAAACAAGCGAGTTAGCATGAATGTGGCGGGGCGTTTAAATCGGCCGTTGTATTTTCACTGGAACGCTGCTCTTCTCTACTGCAGATTTCTGTTCTTACATTTATTTCAAGTAGACACGTTAAAAGGCCGGTAACACCGTCCTTCTCCCATTTTTTGAAATGAACTTGAGATATTGCGCGCACTGCGGGAGATTATCAGAAAGCGTTCTATAAGTAGAGAAATCTTCGTCCGAATCAATCAACTGGGTGTCGACACTGTACTGTCAACAGGATGCCGATTCAGAACCGTTTATTTGTGTGATATGTGTATTTCTGGTAGCGTTAACGCCATTTTTCCAGTTGGAAAATTTGCCTTTTTAAGGATGTTATTTTAAAGCATCTGCAGCAGATTTTTCAAATGCTGAAAATTTACCCATTTAGGTACATAAAGCTTACACTGACCCGAAAAAATAGAACTTGATAACAAGTACGTTTCACGAAAGGTATACAAACCCATGAGGCCAAGGATCTGAGTAAAGTGGTATAAAGCATGGATGCAAGGGTAAACAAATCCTATGACTGTGTTGCGGTAGCCTATCACTTTCACTATCATGTCAATTTGGACATCAGTCGGTTAGGCAGTAATCTACTCAGCTCTAACTAGACTGTCAAACACAAACAAAGAAAATCCATCAGTAATCGGTGTTGGAGGCAAAGTTGACATCCAAAAGTAAACAGGTATTCGTTCTCATGCAGAGCGAAACCGAAGCTCAGTCGCTGCAGGGGCGAAGCAGTGGCACTGATTTCGTGATGAAAAATAGCCTTAGCTAAATGTAAACACCACTGGACGAGGAGTGGTTTTGCTATAGGAGTGGCATTGGGAAAGTCAAGCCTAGTTAGAGAACGAGTTTCCAGTGACCAAGGTGTTACGAAAAATTACTTTTGCAAAACAGGATCTCCTTCGGGGTCCCATCCGAGGACGCCTCGTTCAATCACAGCAGCAACACCAGGAGTATTCTCGTGAGAAAGAGAGGCCGGGCTGATTTCGATGTGCCTCAAAAAGTTGTCCAAACGACGGCAGGAAACGTATGTCTGGAAGGTATAAAGAAGGAAGCAAAATCGGAATCTAGCTGTGTCTGGCATAGAGCTGGGTTTACCTTAATAATAAGGACAGTCGGACTGGAGGTGGTTGATGGATAGAGAAGCGCTTGCGGAAGAAAGAAAAGAAGGAAAGGTATCAGCAGTACGCCGGTACCAAGTACCGATGCTTCGCTACCGCACAAGCACCGCCAGTTGCCGTGGGCTTGGGATACTGCGCGGGTCGCCCGGTCCCTACACAGGGTCGAAGATGTGTCCTCAGATTACAAAGCAGGCTTGTGATCCTTAAAGCTACAGGCCGGAAGTCAGTCGCATAACTAATGATGTCTATTCACAGTTCTTGAAACAGTTCGCCGCTAAGGAGTGTGACGCGCACATGCCCGATGGATGTTAACACAACTTTCATGGGGGTTCCACTGGTAAACATTGAGTCCACTCTAAGCTAAAGGGAATACGGCGAGAAAGTATGCAGGGAAGTTCGAATAAATGATTATGCAGCTTACATAGATAGTGGAACAGCTCCACATGTTGGCTATAAACTGGCCGTACGAAGTCTGTCGAGGAAAGAAAGGATGTTTAAAAAGTTTCGGAATACTGGTAGCTCCAGTTGACGATTCAGTTGTTACTTTGCTCGCCGAGCATGCCAGATTGTTAGCAAAGTTCTGCCACAATGCGAGGTGGCATCTTAGTGCTGTGATATGCGTATCAGATTAGATTAAAGATCATGATAAGAATTCGTCGGACTAATTCAGATTGCCACAGACTTGCAGGTGCTGCTTGTAGAACATAATAGTGAATGCTTCTGAGAACTGTAAAGAAGGGTAAAGGAGTCGCATAATCATGTGGGCGATAAGGGCGAGAGCAGAAACACTGCAGGGGCTATTCCACCAACATTATGTAAAAAGCCTAGCAAATCAAAATACAACCAGAGCACCCGCTACAAAATACAACCAACAAAGTAGGCGCATGAATGACAGTGTCCTCAAATTTAGTCGTTACCCCTATCATTGCAATATTGCTCTTGTTTCTGCGAATTAGGTTATTGTTAACTGAGCCAATATTCAAGATTTTACTCTGTTGATCATTTGACCTAGCTCCAAACGGTCCGAAAGTCCCATCAAATCGAATACGGCAACAAGATGAAAAACGTACTTAAAATAATTTATAGAAGAGGTATGAGCGCTGTGTTAGCTGGCAAGTTGGACTCAAACGCTGTGTTATTAACAAGGCGCAAATTTCCTTTACCCTGTCTAGTGACGCACGATCGCTTCTCAGGAAAGTTGATGATCTCAAAAATATTTTACAATAAAAAGAACTTACGAACGCAGGTATAGTAACGTTAGAGGATAGTTGGATATATTACGACATTAAAAATGGAGTTGCGAAACTCAGCGGCTTTCAGCATATTACATCCGACCGCCGATGAAAGTCCCCACCGCGGAGGAATTGTGATCATCAACATAACGTAAGACTGGTGAAAATCGGTTTCATGGCCTTCCAGTTACTAAACTGCCTCAATAAGCTGCCATCCACTGGAATGCAAACCAAATATTATTAGTGGTTTTCTACATGTCGCAGTTGGAAAGGTTTAGATAACGCCTGACGCAACAGTCAAAGATGAAGAAGCTTGCAGACCACATTGTCTCGGAGTTGCAACCAAAGTCAGAGTATTGTAGCCGGTGATTTTAATAGGAGTGACAAAGTTTACACTAAAACGCCGAGTCCAACCATTCTGGTGGAGTTCTCTACCAAACTCGATGCACATCTGGAGTTAGGTCTTGCTAACAAGTATAACTTGTTTGCCACACGATATGGTGTCCACTAGATAAATCGGACCGATGCTCCGTGAAGACATGTCCCAAGACTCTGGTAATACTCGCAAGCGCTTCCAGATCATTCGGTCCGTTGGCCACAGAAAGTCTAGTGTCAGTGAGACTACTTGCAAGGCGGAGGATTTGACGATTCCCAACCTACAAAGACGCTTGAATCGATGGGTCGAACTTTGGATTCACAGTTCAATTGGCCCTCACCGTCCACTTGTATTCCCTGAGAACCCAGCTGCCCGCCCTGGGTCGTCACACTGGATCCACCAGGCGAAGCGGAACTACATTGCGCTGGCAAAAATACCGTCCAGAACGGCAGAACCACTCAATAAAAAAGATTGCAAAGAGCAAAGTAACGCATTACACGATTAATTTATCTACGCCGTAGCCAAAATCTTATCATCTCAATGTGACCATCTCACAAATATATGAATTTATGTTCCATTTGCATTTCCGTATTGAGATCATTCATTTGCACAATGATAGATTTCCATCTTTATCCCTCGAGCAACTGCCTCGGAAAAAGAAAAATGCTCGTAGTAAATGTTACTCTGTGGCTATAAAAGCCGAGATCAGAAGGTTAAACAGTCCGCAGATTGAAGCCGTATTTTGAAACTACAGTTGCACTTGAAGCAACTCTGCGGTGAAAGTTAAAGCAGTTCACTCCGTACCGTGGATGAGGGCCAGCTCAGCGCAGAGTTCAACTCATCATCGAACACGACCCTTCTACTTTTCTACCTCCTCAATGATATCCCAACATTAATTGACCATACCAATGTGTGTGAATAGATGGCTGGCTTGCCAGCTGGGAGTTTCCGGTGAACCCCGTTCCAAGACGTGATAGGTTTTCGTTCAGCAAGTGTTCTCCATATAAAAATCCACCAATGTATGCTTAACAACACTGCGACGGAACGCATGTGAGTCTCTACTAAATAGAGTCACGGCCCTTTGCTTCACCTCGGGGGAAAACTTGTACTCCAGCAAGTGTGCTGATATTATGGGGAGAATGGGGCCCCTGTTCTGTAACCGAACAAAAAAAGGCGTATGAACTGAACATTCAGTCACCGACTCCCAATGGGCTCAATTCCCTGAATTCGCCCCGCTGCCTTGAGGGCAGCTTATTTAGCCAAAGGCTCAGGGGTGGTGTCCCCTAAGACAACTCCCTACTTCGTCTTAGGCGACCGGGTAATAACATGCCCACTGACATACCACGGATGGTTCATTTGCTGTATCGCACTCAGCTGCCTCCGCACCCGTTACTCACACACCTTCACACGCCACCTGTTCATGTGTTGCCAATAACTCATATCAGTTTTCAGCTGATTCGTATTTCCATGATTCCACTCCCTGTGGTTACGTCGACGCCCACAGAGCTCGTCAAGTGGCCTTCCATCGTCCTCGGTCCACCTTCCGTCTGGCATGCTTCAAAGTACGTATACGCAAGCAGATCGGGCAGCAGGCTGGTCTTGCGCGCACCCTGGAACCCCTTATCATAGATATATGCTACCTTTCCGAAAGGCACTTACAAGATCCCAGTACTGTGATTGGATTGAGATGTCCCACAGACCACGAAGCCATATTTCGCCTACGTCTATGTGGTGACACAGAAGCAGCTACGGCAGGTTTGGCTGGCGTTGGTGAAGCGGTAAGCAGCGAAGCCGAGGCCGCACTTCTGGACTGATTTCCGGTTAATAGCCGACTATCCGCAGTTCGGCTTCGCGCATCATGCAGGATCCACAGATTTCGTGAGGAGAGATGCAATTTGTTTGCGATCGCAGCTTAAGTTCCAAATGACTGCAGTTCCGACTTGGTCAAGGACGATTTCTACCGTGAACTTCATCAGCTCGTAAGCAGAGCCTGCAGATCCGACATCGTTGTCCTTGTTGGAGATCTTAACGCACGGGTCGGTCATCTATTATCTTGAGAACTTCATCTCGGTGGTCACTATGCGTTCGAGGATAGCCGCTCAGATAATGAAAATAGACTTTTCACTCTGTACGAAGACAATCGTCTGTTTCTCTAGAGCTTCCGATATTCGAGGACACATTCCGCTACTTGACGATCGACTTCCGCGTTTCAAACATGGTCTCACATTGATCATAGCGCAATCAGTTTCAGATGGAGAGGTAATGTAAAATATTGCAGATTTATGTGCCCACATTTCTTGACTCAGAGAATGTTATTGTCTGTGCGAACATCTGCATGGGTTTCGGAGGGTAACCGAAAACAAAGCACTGTAAGATGCATACAAAAAATTAGCTACTTACCCGTTTCAGCAGAGCTATCAAGCTTCGCTGGCCGATGCTCTTGGCTGTGACCACGCGCAAAACATTAATGAACACTGGACGTTCTTGCAAAGGACCATGATCTCATCCGGGCAGTTAGTTTGTGGTCTTACTCAGCACGCTATAAAGGCCTGGATCTCCACGCGCCCCCTGGATCTATTTGAACGCCGCAGAGATATTCCAGCAAAGTTTAGCCTAAATGAAGTGTGCCGTTCTCGCATTCGGCAGCTCAAACAGTGTCTACGCAGTGATCCTTAAGCATGGTGGTCCCAGCGTGCTTCGGAAATGGAGGCCGCTGTCCTCTCTGGCAATACACGCAAGCGCTTCCGGATTATTCGGTCCACTAGTTACGGAAAGTCTGGTGTCAGTGAGACAATTGGCGAAGCAGTTGGTTCACCGATTCCCAACCTACAAAGACGCTCGAATCGATAGGCCGAACATTGTCATTCCCAAGATGAATTTGGAGAATCCGCTGGCGGTTGGGTTGCTACAAGCAACCTCTATTGAGACCTCGGTTCACTTGAGGTGGACCTCAGCCATTCCGATCAAAAAGACCGTAAGTAAAGTAATTTTCATTTTACTTACGGCCTTTTTGATCGGAATGGCCGAGGTCCACCTCAAGTGAACCGAGGTCTCAATAGAGGTTGCTTGTAGCAACCCAACCGCCAGCGGATTCTCCAAATTCATCTTTGCATTCAGTTCCGTTGGTCTAAGCGTTGCTCGCGGATCTCAGTGGCATAGTGCTTATGGCGTCAACCATGAGTCACTAGGCTCTGAGTTCCAGCCCAACTCAGGCTATCTCCAACTGATGAGTCCCAACAGGACGAAACCGCGGTCTTGGAGTGTCAGTGTTTGGGTGAGCAACACTATAATTTTCATTGTCATT